GTGAAAACGACGATTTCGCCCATTACGCCGCACATGTTACATATCGCCGCGAACGTCGGAATGAGAGCAATAATTGTAGGGCTATCAATCACTGATAACACTAAACTGATGAGCGGTAAAAGCTTTTAAAGCGTCACCTATGGTCAATTTTGGGCATGGTAAGTTTTTGCGATTTTGCGGGTGCGCACAATTTTAAAGCATGACATGTTTGGTGTCTATTTACCCGACGTGACCCTGTCTTTTTATATTTTACCAAAAATATGGGTGATAAATGGGTGTGGTTACTGGGGGTGTGACCACTAAAGGGTGTGGCCAATGAGGGGTGTGGTCACTGAGGGGCGCTGTAATGCTTTCTCGCACAGGGCGCCTAAAGGCCTAAGGCCGGCCCTGCTGAGACCCTACAGAGCCCAGGTGCTGGTGAGACCCTACAGAGCCCTGGTGCTGGTGAGACCTTACAGAGGCCTGGTGCTGAGACGCTACAGAGCCCAGGTGCTGGTGAGACCCTACAGAGCCCAGGTGCTGGTGAGACCCTACAGAGCCCAGGTGATGGTGAGACCCTACAGAGCCCAGGTGATGGTGAGACCCTACAGAGCCCTGGTGCTGAGACCCTAGAGAGCCCTGGTGCTGAGACCCTACAGAGCCCTGGTGCTGGTGAGACCCTACAGAGCCCAGGTGCCCTGGTGCTGGTGAGACCCTACAGAGCCCTGGTGCTGAGACTCTACAGAGCCCTGGTGCCGAGACCCTAGAGAGGCCTGGTGCTGAGACCCTACAGAGCCCTGGTGCTGAGACCCTACAGAGCCCTGGTGCAGGTGAGACCCTACAGAGCCCTGGTGCTAGTGAGACCCTACAGAGCCCTGGTGCTGAGACCCTACAGAGCCCTGGTGCTGAGACCCTACAGAGCCCTGGTGCTGAGACCCTACAGAGCCCTGGTGCTGAGACCCTACAGAGCCCTGGTGCTGAGACCCTACAGAGCCCTGGTGCTGAGACCCTACAGAGCCCTGGTGCCGAGACCCTACAGAGCCCTGGTGCTGAGACCCTACAGAGCCCTGGTGCCGAGACCCTACAGAGCCCTGGTGCCGAGACCCTACAGAGCCCTGGTGCCGAGACCCTACAGAGCCCTGGTGCTGGTGAGACCCTACAGAGCCCTGGTGCTGGTGAGACCCTACAGAGCCCTGGTGCTGGTGAGACCCTACAGAGCCCTGGTGCTGGTGAGACCCTACAGAGCCCTGGTGCTGGTGAGACCCTACAGAGCCCTGGTGCTGGTGAGACCCTACAGAGCCCTGGTGCTGGTGAGACCCTACAGAGGCCTGGTGAGACCCTACAGAGCCCTGGTGAGACCCTAGAGCCCTGGTGCTGGTGAGACCCTACCGAGCCCTGGTGCTGGTGAGACCCTACAGAGCCCTGGTGCTGGTGAGACCCTACAGAGCCATAGAGCTGGTGAGACCCTACAGAGCCCTAGTAAGACCCTACAGAGCCCTAGTAAGACCCTATAGAGCCCAGGTGCTGGTGAGACCCTACAGAGCCCTGGTGAGACCCTACAAAGCCCTGGTGCTGGTGAGACCCTACAGAGCCCTGGTGAGACCCTACAGTGCCCCATCTCTGCCGTTGCTGCCAGCTATCCTGGGTTCCACTGCCATCCGTGATGGCCCAGGACCAGCATGGCAGCTGTACATCAATCAGCACTTCCAGTGACTGATCTCCCCGCTGATCACTGAAAGTGGGAGTGACGTGTATTACAATCACTTCCAGTTTCAGGCTGTCATTTTTCTGGCTGCTATAGCCAGGAGAAGAAGCTGATGAAGCAG